GCTTCTTTCAGGATCCTTTCTTTGTCTTTAACCTATGGCATTTGAATTATGATGTTTCTTGGTGTGGGTCTGTTTGGGTTCATCTTGTTTGGGCTTCTTGCACTTCATGGGCTTGTATGTCTATTTCCTTCTCCAAGTTAGGGACATTTTCCATCATTATTTCTTCAAATAGGTTTTCAATTCTTTGCTCTCTCTCTTCTCCTTCTGCTACCCCCATGATGTGAATGGTGTTATGTTTGATGTTGTCTCTGAGGTCCCTTAAACTTCTCTCATTTTGGGGGGGCAGGGGTTTTGTTTTCTTGTTGCTCTTCCTGCTGGGTGTGTTCTGCTACTTTATTTTCTAAGTCATTAATTCAGTCCTCTGTTTCATCTAATCTACTATTGATTCCTTCTAGTGTGTTCTTCATTTTAGTTATTGTATTCTTCATTTCTGAGTGGGTTTTTTTATTTTGTGGTTTCTCTGTCCTTTTTTATGCTTACTATCTCTTCGTTGAAGTTCTCACTGAGATAATCTGTTCTGCCCTTAAGTTCATTGAGCATCTTTATAGCCAATGTTTTGAACTCTGTATCTGGTAAGTTCATTGCCTCCATTTCATTTAGTTTATTTTCTGGAGTTTTCTCCTGTTCTTTCATTTGGGACATGTTTCTTTGTTTTCTCATTTTGGCTGCCTCTCTATTTTTGTTTCTATGTTTAAGTAGATTCGCTATGTCTCCAAGTCTTGGCTGGATAGCCTTGTATAATTGGTGCCCTGTGTGGCCCAGTGGCACAGTGTCCCTGATCACCAGCACTGGGTGCCCCAGGAGTGTCCCTTGTGTAAGCTGTATGTGCCTACCTATTGTAGTTAAGCCTTGATTGCTGTTTGCAGGTCAATGGTTTGAACCGACTCTTAGGCTTACTGGCTGTGAGAACTGGCCTTGTGCACAGGGTACGAGCTACTGTGTGGTGGCTGACCCCATGGAGTGAGATTTACCCCAGCGGGCTAATGTGTCTGTTGAGACCACTCTTTGGGTATGCTGCTTATGGGGCTAATCAGATAGTGCTCTGTTATAGTCTAATGTCAGCCTCCAGGTGTGTAGGTTCCGAGAGGGGTTCCTATGTAGGCCAAGGTCAGCCACTGTCTGTGACTGGCCTGGGCTACTTGGTAGGACCTACAAAGAGATTCACAGTTGGTCATTGCCTGTGTGGACCTAGAAGCATGTGGGAGAGGCCATACTGTGAACTGGGGCTTACTACCATCAGTACCAGGCCTGGGACAGCTTAATAAAAGGCCAAGGGCACTCAAGGCCTGAGGCTGCCTATAAGACTCAGCAGCTGAAAGGGCCTCAGGTGATACCCAAGTTGGGGGAAGCAGGGTCTCAGGAAGTAACCAGGGTGGGATGAGTAAAGTTCACCAGGTTAATGCAGATTCGGATTTGGTGCCAGTCCTGAGCCTGTGGCCACTGGCAAAATTCTCAGGTCACACTGAGGCCGGCCACTGCCCACCTCAGGCCTGTAGACTCCCAAGATTTGTTCAAGAAATGCTGTAGCTCAGTTGTGGCTTGTTGCCTACCACCAGAATTGTCTCCAGAGGTTCACGAGCTGAGGCCTATTGATTGCTGCTGAAAGAGCCTCCTGCCAAGAGAGCTGATTGGAGCTGTTTAGTCTGCCATGAATATTTTCCCAAAATTCACAAATCAAGTGAGGCAAAGTCCCAGAGAGTCACCAGGGTGGAGTGAATGGAGTTCACCAAGCTAATGCCCATTCAGATCAGCTGTGTGGGGGTGGGCTCAACCAAAAAGCCCCACTGCTTTTTACAGCCAGATACTGTGGTGACTCCTCTTCCTGGCACTGGAACTCTGAGCTGGGGAACCTCAGTATAGGGCTGGGGCTTCTCATTCCTCCCAGGGGATTTCCGCAAATGTAATATCCCTCCTGATGCTCAACAGCCACAAGCGGGTGAGCCCCTTTTACATCTCCACCCCTCCTACCAGTATAGATGTGGCCTCTTCTTTATATCCTTAGTTATAGGAGTTATATTCAGCTAGTCTTCAGATGGTTCTCCGGGTTGATTGTTCTATAATTTATTTGTAATTTGAATGTGGTCATGGGAGGAGGCAAGAACCTACTTGGCCATGTTGTCCAGAACTCTCCAGTTTTTTAAACATTACACATACACTCATGCATGCATGTGCCAAGGAGAAGGACAAATGATTAAAGCTTATAAAACTGTTCTATTAATGCTGATATAAAAGACTAAATTATATGAGAAAGAATTCTCAGATTATGAAATGTATGGGAAGATGAATAATTTACTGTGATTTTATTTCAGCATTTACATTTTATCTTTTTATTATTGTGATTTTGGAGGGGAGAGAAAAGTGAGATAGAATTAATCTCCCAATAGTTTATTTTATTCCTGGGCTATACCTTACCCATTCACATAATAGGAGTAGTGGCAAGCCTGGAGGGACCTTAAAATGCCATTCCACACAATATCCTTCTGTGTCCATATTAAGGATTTGTTTAGAGTTGAGGCAACTGACAAGGGAAAACTCTTCTTAAATCCTTTCAGACCAAAGTAATCTCTTTCATTTTCTATGGCTTAATCTCCTGTGCTCTTAACTGAATTCTTCATGTTCTTGAGCAGATTCAAAGATGATTTTGAGAAAATCTAAGTCCTGTCAAATTTTGGTCTACTTTTCTATCTCAACCCTGTGGAAAAGTGGGATGGCCTTTCATCTAAATGAGAATATCCATAACTTTTTGAAAAATGAAAATCTAATTAAATACTCATCTTAATAAGTATTTGATTTTTAAAACTGAAGTGTTAAGTATAACTTTAATTCTTTTTTTACTTTATTTAAGTAAATCAACCAATAATACCCATCATAACCACAATTGTGTGTGTATAATTGAAGAAATGTTCATGTCTCTCTTCCTTCTCAATATAGATATTGTCTACAATGTACTGATTTGACATGAGTAATCAAGAAAAGCTTCACAGATGAGGAAAATTCTCTTGCATACTAGTTGACATTATATCTAATCTCTACTTTTTGTCTCTCTAGGCAATTACTAAATATCAAATTATACATTTTAATCTAAGACTTTTAAAAAGAACCACATTTTTTTTCTAAAAGTGTAAATTATTACATTTCTTAAATTAGAAAAAATGCTGTAAGATAATGATATGACTCACAGGTTAACGTAGAAACGTACATATTGCCTGGAATTTTAAAACAACATCTTTTGTTTTACTTCATATTTTCACAAAAGATTTCCAAGTACTTTACAAGAATTAATTTTCCAGAATAATTCAATGAGATAGCTCTATATTCTTTTTGTAACTGAGGCATTAGAAACAGCAACTAAGCAGAGTTTTCCCTGCACGGGTTTGGGACCAAATCTAGCCTTCTAGAAACCTACACAAATTATTGTGTTAAATTATTGTTCTGTTTAACTTCAGAATTTACTGCTAAAGCATCAATACTTTAAATTTTCCTTTTAAGACTCTGATGAAAATTCTCATAAAATAGATTACACACCACAGTATATACTTTTCAGCCTTCTCTGATGCAGTGTGCTTAACCTTATTTACCTTTTTCTGCTTGACTCAGAGTCATAAGCATCAACCTTATTTATTGTACAGTATTACAATACAGTAATGTCTCATGGGAAGAGGAGCCATATGTTCCTCTATAAAATAATGTCTCTGGGTCTGCTTTTTAGTTTTCTGCCTTCTCCCCTGCTGTCATTTTTCTTATTCTTGGTGTGCCTGCTAGTAGTAGCTTCTTACTTCCCTCTCTTTTTAGAGTTTAATCTACTGAGAGAAACCAACCAAATAGGATCATCTAAAATTAAATATAAATAGATTCCAAATGACGGTCTATGGAATCCTCCAGTGAGTGTCACTGCTCATTGTTTGGGCACTCATGTTCTTTTGGTCTTCCCCTGAGTGAAGTTTTGCAATTTTCTCCCCTGATAAGTTTTATTGGACAGTAGGCCAGGATACTGGCTTCTTACAATACAATCTAGAGAGAAAAACTTTAATCCCTTGGGAAGTATCTATTGGAAAATTTTCATGCTTTTGAAAAAGTTAATCTGTACCTTTTTGAGATGAAATATAATTTTCCTAATATATGAAAGTTTATATTGGTAATTCAATGCATGTCAGTTGGAGAAGAGCATTTTATCTTTCAGACTGAATTTTAGTATAGATATAAACATTTTACATGATGTACAAACTTTCTTTGAATTGCTACATTAGAAGCAAGTGCCATTTATTATAATGCCCCAAAATAAAAGAACTCAAAACATTAACAAAATTGTTTTCTTTTAAAATCTAAACACAATCTGCTTGAAACACTTGAATCTCTTGAAATTTATTTCCATTTAAATTTCCACACATTTCAAGAACAGTCATTTTTAGGATTCTGTTGTTCTAATCTAGAGGGACATCTTTAGATTGATTTACAGTTGTTTGGTCAGCAGAACAAGTTTTCATATATTTCTCCATTCTTAAATGATTTACAAATTTGAACATGTGAATATAAGCAATTCTTATCACCTCTATTTTCTCCCCTTCAGTTTCCCTTTGGTTTCTTTATCTCTTACCTATCTTTTACTGATGACTAATTGGATATGTGTGTTCTTAAAGCAAAGTCATGAATTAGGTCCTTTCCTTTCGCCTAAGATAGCCTTTTCCCCCTTATTTATGATCAGCTTATGCCCATAACTGAGCCTTCAGTCACATCAACCAATTTTTATTCAGCCCTGGCCAAACAATACTTTCCGTGATGTTGACTCTGCCTATGAAACATGGCACACTTATGTAATTCCATGTTACAGTATAAAAGTTGAATTATAGAGTAGGATTGTCAGTCATAGTGAGCAGCTTGGGTTTTTCCCTTACACAAGCTCAAGGCCCTGCTTTAAGGCCAAAGTAAAGGACCCCAAAACAAGAAATTCTTACTTGGTTGATTTTTACCAGAAAATATCAGTGCCTTTTTTTTACTTCTAGGAACTAAAGAGGTTGTTGTAAATGTGGATGATAATGGAATCATTTCCTTGAACTTTGAATGTGATCAGATGGCTCCAAATTCTGAGTTCACCTGGTCCAAAGATTATGTATCCACTGAGGACTCTCCACGTTTAGAAGTTGAAAGCAAAGGCAACAAGTACGGACTGTTTCAATAATAATCATTGGTTTTCTTTTTAGGATGGGAGTATGAAGTAAGCTTTTTGCTTTCCATTTGAAATACTTGATATAAGGGGATGAATCATCAATATTTTATATCTGATAATGTAAAAAGTAAAAACCAGTATAAATCTTAAAAAGTAATAATTCTTATAAAGTATTTTTTACATTATTCCATTTAAAGTGCTATCTCACTTGTGATGTTAGAAAAGCTTTGATTAACATAAAAGTAAGCTTTAAAAATGATTCTCATTATTCTACAAAATTTCAAAATCTTAAAGTAATGGTGAAGATGCCTATGGGAAGAGAGCAAGGAAGAACTTGCTACTTGCTGGTTAAACTTATGGTAAATTAAATGGGTTAGGTATAATCTGTTCTGCCTTTTTTCATCACCACTTATGAGTAACACAGTAAAGCAGTAGAAAGAACTCTATATGGGAAGCACAAGATAGAGGAGTTCCAGCGCCAGGTCTACCAGACGCTGGCTGCGTGATCTGGGGCAGTTTTTAACTTCCATGAACCTTGGATTTCTTTTTCTGAAAAATGGGAAATAGTGAAGGGGAATAATTTTATGATCTATCACTTACTTTGAGTCCCAAGATTCTGAGTTTTCTTTTTACTTTGCCTTACTTATCAAGTTTTAGATCTTTACAGTACCAACCATATTGGATTGTCTTCGTTAAAGCAAAATATTCTTAAGTATTATTTCTACTACAAAGAAGCCCAATATATATTAACAATAAAAGATAGAAATAGTAATTTTGTTGGAGAATGCAAGGAAATGCTGAATATAATTAAGAGACATTTTGCTGTCACTATGCTGTAAAGTCCTTGAAGTAAAACATAAATTGGTCAAAGAAAAGACAATCAAGCTATAAATTTTTGTTCCAGCTTTGTGCACTTGACTAACATTTAAATATTTGGCTGGTCTTAGACACTGATAAGCAACCAAAGCTAGAAAACACAGTGAACTAGACCATCGACTGATTAATTTACTCATTTTATAAATATTTATTATGCACATATTATGTGCCAAGAAGGCACCGAATGTTGGATACAACAGTAAACAAAACAGATCTCATCCCTAAAGGTACATAGTGCCTTTGTCTTAAAGATAATGATATAGGCAATACCAATGCAGTTTGATAACCTTGAAAAGAGAATTGCAGGGGATAACATAAGAAAGACGCTGGAATTACCAACAGCAGATTCTGCTCTATAATGAAAAAATTTTTCAGACTCCCTAGCAAGGGCTCATCAGTTAAATATATCTTTATTTGGGATATGTATTGATATGCAACATCCCTTTGGAATGAGAGACTTGTACCAGCTCCCCTCTTCCACCACCATCACCCTGCAGGAAGAGGTCAGGACAAACTTCCCAGAAATAGCAAGTATGAGTAGGCTTTAGGTCAGCAAGAGAGATAGGAACAAGTGCTCCAAATGATGGGAGTAACATGTGCAAATACCTAGAGGCAATGCAGGACACAGGTCCACAGATTCCACATAGCCGCATTTCTTATAAAAATATTCTGTTTTGAAGGACGAAAATGACCTTCAAAGACCTTGGGATGGACGACTTGGGCATTTACTCCTGCGATGTAACAGACACTGATGGAATAGCATCAAGCTACTTGATAGATGAGGAAGGTAAGTTTAAAATCAATTCATTCACATGTCTTATTCCTAAGCTGCTTTGATTTTTCAATGATTCTCTAAGATCAAGTGACTTTTATTTCAGTAATTTAAGGATTAATTGTTCTCTTTTTCTCCCTACAGAGTTGAAACGTTTACTTGCTCTCAGCCAAGAACACAAGTTCCCAAGTAAGTGTCCATGATCTTTTACAGAGTTTAGCAATCCTACTGTGTGGCAACTTCTGGAACAGGGCAGATGACAATTCTGACAAGATTAAGAGAAAAGGATATTGAGAACATATAATGGAACATACATTGGTAGCTACAGATATACTTTCTAGAAGTGCTGCCTTTATCTTTGCCATTGTTCTCAAGACATAACAAAGAAACTAACATAGAAACTATATCTCATGCTCTGTTTCATAAAGAAGGGACAGATTACATTGGTGTAACAGCTGAGTAATTAAGTTTTGCCTACATGTTTTGGAATCGTGCATACATATACATCTTCTGGTACATTGATTCCTATGTGTTTTAGGCAAACTAATCTCTTCCTAAGCAATTTAATGTTAGCACTTAATAGAAGAATCATACTTCTAAATAGACATTACCTGCCATTTTAAACTCCTGGAAAATAAGGTAAAGATACATTGGTCAGATAAAGAATTTCTCTGAACTATCTACAAACCCTCCAATAAAGCACTTTCCACTAAAAGATTAAAATTCACAATTGACACATAAAAGAAAAGAAAGAAGTCTGTTGACAGTTGGAAAGTTCCACTGGCTTGATAAGATCTCTTGTCATTGGTATCTATTGGCCAAAGTAGTGGATTACCCAGAATGTTATGTCCTAGAGTTTGAAAAAACAAATAGAACGTGGTAGCATGAACTCATTCTTTTAAATGAAGAATTTTTTTGCTCATTAATCCCTAAAATATAACTTCTTCACTAATACAGGAGTTTCAATAACTCATGAAACTGTGCCCTGACCCCAGACTATAGGCAAAACTGTATGTTCGTATGTGTGCATTTTCCTAGGGAGAGAGTCTATAGCTTTCCCAAAATACTAAATAGAGCCTGTGATTTAACAATAAACAAACACTGCTCTAAAACCAATTACCTGACCTCTCTTCCATTCCCAAGGAATGCTTGTCTGATCATGAGACTGTTGATGACTCTTGGCTTCAGCTGTAATATTCTCAAAACCAACTTTGTTTAGCAAAGCAGCACAAGAGGGTTCCTATGGGTGTGAATGTAGGATGCAGAGTTTCTGAATTCTGGGGGAGAACTATTTCTCATCTCTATGATTATTCACCATAAAACTGGAAAAGTAATACCATGAGTGGTGTCTTAACAGTTATGCATATATTCTAAATTGTATGGAAGGGAGAGGTTTGGCCTGGACTTCCTGTGTTCTATAGTTTGGAAATACTCTGTGAATCTGGGCACATCATTTCAATTTCCCTGTGCCTTGGGGGTTTTTTTTAGAAATGGCTGTTGTAATATTTAATAGCACCTGCCATATGAGAAATCATCAGTGTGGTATTGGTTTATCTTTGAATGCTTCAGAAAAAAATATAAATGTTAATTGAAACAGCAGTGATCATAGAAGAGCTTGCAGAAGAGCTGTCTGCAAACTGCACAGGATGTTCTCCCTTTATGTTCCCAGACCTGTGAAGTAGGGCATGGAGGAGAAGGTCACTGTGTTGAACACAGCCAGAGCCCAAATAGACAGGCAGGCCCCATTAATGTCTGCACTGTCTACTCTCAAACATTGATAGATGGAAAAAAACAGCAGCATCCACCAATCTAGTCAGTCAGGCAGTAAATATTGACAATGTGTCTAGGCAATAGCTAATCCAAATAACATTCACATTTAGCTTAAAGAATGGAGATGAGAGAAAATGGGATGTTACTGTTGAATTGGAGGTGCCTGAGCCTCCTTGAAATTCAATTATCATATAGACTCAGAGATAATAATTGCCTGATATCACTGTCATTTACGCTGAAATAATTTATTTTGAAGAAGCATAAGCACTCTATTGATTCTAGGAGAGAAGGTAGCAGAAAACTCAGGCACACCCTTTTAATAGAGACTTGGTGTGGCATTTGGGTAGATACAGGGAACTTGAGAATGTGTTAAAAACTCTGACATGCAAGTATCAAATCCAACCCAAAGGAGTTTACATTATCACACTGAAGCAGCATTTTAAATATTACAGCTCCAGCACTTTTCTTTTCCCCACTGCTATTAGATCAGCCAGGTCACTACATGAATATTTGCAGAGATATGATGGTAGGGTCAAAGCAGCATATCTAATTTCTCAATTTATGCCCACTTCCTCTTAGTAAATGTTGACATGTAAGTTGTTTCCTTGAGGTTTTGTAAGGTTTAAATCATCTCATTTCTTACAGATTATAGTAAAGAGTATGGTGTTCCTTTATCCTTGGCACAGTAAATTCTCCTATTTTAAGCTGTTTTCAAAAATATTTTGAAAACCAGTAAACATATGCCTTAGAACTACAAATAAAGGATATTTTTTATAGCAAATTAACTGCCAGAGAAAAGAGCCTAAGGAAATTTAGGACTGAGAAGAAAAGTAAAATAAAATATATAAAGCTAAAAATAGAAAACAGCCTAGTCTGTCTTGCCAGTATTGATAGCAAAGCACAGTATATAGAGGTAGCTTATTTGAATATATTTAATATTCTCTCAAGATCTAAGTCTTTGGGGATGAGGGGAATGGTAGGAGGTATACTTTGGTATTGTCAACATCCTACATAATACCTCTTCATTTTTAGACATTGGTTATTATCCCACTTGTATACATATACTCTATGTGTGCAAATACAATAAGCACATATATATATAAATTATATCAATTTTGTATGTCTCCTTTAGGTGTCAATATAGTATATTTTATAAGTGGTAGTTGTAGGGTGTGGTTGGAGCAACCGGAGGAAGAAAGAGGTACCAAAATATTAATAGCCGAATTTATAAAGCACTTATTATATGCCAGGCTATTTATAGGGTCCTGAAATGGAATCATCATTTAAATATCCACAATGACCTTAAAAGGGTTCGTACTATGGTGATTTAGTTTTAAAGATGAAGAACATGAGGCCTAGAGAGGTTAATTACCTAAACCAGGTGTGCACAGCTGGTACCTGGGGTTAAGCCCAGGTGAGCCAACACTAACCAGGACATGGGTTGTATCTGTGTGTACACCTGCTGTTCGCCACCAGGCCCTCTGTGGTGATTCCCAGTCGCTAGTAGTCTCCAGACAATGTCCCTATTACTCAGAGAGGACAGTGAACATTAAGGGAGCTGGAAGCTTCCAGGAAGACATGCCCCTCCCCTCTACCACCATTCCATGCCTCTTAGATAACCACATCACTCAGGTATTAGATTCCCTGGAATGAGGTCTTCAGATTTTTCCAGAAGAGCTTCTTCTTTCCGCTCCCCACCGAGACTTGTAGAAAACAGGAGCATCCTGTAGAGAAAAAACTTAGCCTCCGCCCTCACCACCCTGGGATCTGTCCACGACCTGCTTTACTTAGATGTGCTCACACTGGAAAACCACTAGCGTTCTTCAAAGTGTACAGCCGAGACCAAAAAGAACACAGAATAGAGGGAATAACCCTGGTCTCAGCTCTACTACCCAGATTTGTTATTAACCTTTCCTGAGGCTCAGTTTTGTTATCAGTAAAATTAGGTGGGGAAGAAAATTAACCCTTTTGAGCACTGGTCATTATCACATAGTGTCTTAGTGTATTCTGGTACTATACCCATTCCTGTTGATGGCCTTGTGAAGCAGATAATATCCATATTAGCAGCTGAGGAGCACATTTCCGGAGGAGATAACTGTCTAAGACCATGGTGTGTCATCAGAGCCCATCTTCTGTTCATCATGGAACACCTCTCAGTAGATGATATCTGAGCCTCCTTTTAGCTCTGCATTGGAATATCACCATAACTGAATTTTACAGTGAATATCGATTACTGCAAATGAAAGTCATCCCTTAAAACTTGAAAAGGGTAATTTTAGGATAATCACAAAGAACCATTTGTGTGCATTTGGTACAAGTTTGGGAAACTTATAATTTAAAATGTAGCATTTGCTAAAATTATGAGATAAGTTTCAAAACACTTTAGAGAAAGCAATGGGTGATGATTTCCCCTAAAGATAATGAAGGACTACTAAACTTTGAGAAACAACCATGCTTTTCCACAAAGTATGCCCTGGACCACCTTTAATACTGAACCACTGTTGGAGGAGCCTTTGTGGAGAACATTTCAAGTTACAAGAAATTTAGGGGGTAAAAAAGAAATTTAGAAAACTATTTTGAGAAACGTCAGCCAACTTTTAAAATTTTAGCTTAAGTGATACAGGTGTAAATCAGAGATACCGTGTAGTTCCTTCACTTTCTTTGTGAGACAAGCCATGGTATATTTTAATATAGCTTCTTAATCATGACTCACTTATTTGCCTCTGAAAAATTTTGCTTGGTCTGAGAACTTAAATGAACTGGTATACCATTGGGCCGGATAAGGTTTAAATGACAAGTGAGTTCATCTTATATATATAGTCAAAAATAATTTTTTCAAAATTCATTTTTTAAAACATTTTAAAGAACCTCCAAAGTGAGTTAAGTGGCTGGGAAAAAGTTAAATTTAACTTCTTTCCAAATATCTTGAGTAATTAAGATCATAATGTCGGTACCAGAAAATATTGTGGTCAATTAGGACATTCAATTCAATTCCATTAATTTATAAATTAGTTAAATGAGACCCAGATATGAGAAGTAATCTGCCTAATATTGCACAGTTTGCTAGTAGCCGATGTTGGACTAGGCTGCAGCTCTCCCGATGCCAGTCCAAGACGCTTTTCATCACACTTTGCTATTGTCCCTAAAAAAACCTAACCAAAGCCATGGTAGAGTCACAGAGATTAGCTGAGGGACCCCTGAAGGTAAGTTTATCTTCTTCATCTTCACAGTCAAGAGACATCTATGACTCTGAAAAGGTGACTGACTTGTCCAAAGTGACAGTCAGAGTTAGAACCCAGGTCTTCAGTCCCTCAATAGCATGCTTTCCTTACAACACTCACTGTGCCTCCAGGCTTTGCAAGAAGCACGGTGCTACATAGTCATTTCCACTGAGTGTTTTTTCACTTGTCAAAAAGATCTGAATCGAGACAATTGGTTATCAATATACAATTGGCCCTTGAACAATGTGGGGGTTAGGTGTGCTGAGCCCTACATAATCAAAAATCCACATATAAATTTTGACTTTTTTTATTTTTCATAGCTGTCCCAGTTAAATCAGAGTTGGCAGTTGAAATTTTAGAGAAAGGCCAGGTCCGGTTTTGGATGCAAGCTGAGAAGCTATCTGGTAATGCCAAAGTCAACTACATATTTAACGACAAGGAAATTTTTGAAGGGCCGGTAAGTTTCCCATTTTTTTAGATTTCTAAACATATCGTTACAGAATGTGCTGGGGGAAGCTTATTAGAATGTAGGTAAGTTGTTATAAAAATCACTGGACATGGAATAGGGGAATTTAAAGTTCATATATAAAACATGTAGAGAAAAATATAGATTGATTGTTTAATACTATCCAAACTGGGACAACAATTTTTTTAGGACAATAGTCATAAACCAAGACTGTCCCAGGCTAATCAGGAAGTATGGTCACCCATGAAAATAGAGCTGCTCCCTTGAGAAGGCAAAAGAGCCGACACCCTGACCTGAACTCATACATCAGAAACCCCAGCAGGGACTTGGTTCTTCATATGGAGGAAATGGCCTCTATTAGTCCATTTTTCAGAAAAAAATGCAGTAAAAAATATCTTCATTGTTTTTCTGGTTAAAAGTGCAATATATCCTTATCGTAAAAAACTTTAAAACACAGAAAGAGCAAATCAAAAATTCTTACAACTTTTTGATGTACATATTGGTGTACACTTTTTGGTCATTTCTACACTTCTGTGTGTATATGTCTATTTGTACCTTATTTACATAGGTGATTGTGTATATCATTATCTACTCTTTGGCTTTTGATGTAAACATAGTTTCTATCGATAGAGTTACATCTGTGCTTCATTTGACCTCCCCAGACATCACTAGAGCCAGAATTGGGCCAGTGCCTGGTGGAACTGAAGAACTTCGGTTTTACGGTCCCTGGCTCTCACCTGTACTATCACAGGTGTAAACAGGAAACCCAAAAGACAGGGGAGAGGTGTGGTTTGTGGCCACTATTAACAACTGTTCTTCTTTCATTGAGATGTTTTTAAAACATTTGAGGACTTATCACTGCGGAGAGAATGAATTTTCAACTTTTCAACTCATATAGTAACTGTGCGTAGATCCAGAACAAGTCATAGATGGGTCTACTGTGGCCCATGTCATTCCTATTTTCAAAATGTTCTCATCAACTACTGTAATCATCACCTGGCCAGCAAAGAGGAAGAAAAATATTGTTGGCATTAGTCCCTGCTGCCACAGCCATTAAGGGAACACTTGTGCACATGTGTGCGTAGACCCGCTCCCCTTCATGTGTCACACATGCTTGCATGTTGCTGCATGCACATGCATACACACACTCTGAACTCGAAGAATTGTTCATTTTCTTTTCAGTTTGTTCTAGTCGTACTATTTCATTGGGTGGAAATTATTGTCTTGAGTCAGGTTTCCTAGGAGATAGAATTTCCCCTTCAAGTGATTTATGAGGGAGTTCTCTCAGGAGAAGAGGATAAAGGAAACAAGGTAAGGGAGGGAATAGCTAAGCAAACATGTGCCCTTCATTGGAGACTGGCTTCCCACAGGGAAGGTTCTGGGGCCTGAATTGCACCACAGAGCTGATCTCAGACCTGAGCCTTCATTCTATAACATGTTATAGGAAAATGTCATTAATTCAAATCCATTATGGAACTTCTGCTTGTATGCCCAGCAACTAAAATTTATCTTTACATAGGAAAAAAAAAAAATGTTGCCTAAGCAATATGATAAAATAAGCACAGTCTAATAGGGCAATTTCATTTCATTAGGAGCATATGGACTTCAAATGCTTTAGAAGCATTTTTATTTACATATGAATTCAGCAGATATTTATTAACTTCCTGCTCTATACCATGCATGTGCTAGATGCTAGAGATATAGCAATGAATGAGACAACCACTTCTTTCATGCTACCTATAGCTTTGCATTATTCTGCTAATTAAAACTAATGTAATCTGGAAGGTAAAATGAGAATCTCAAGACAACTTTTTGATAACATTTTGACTTGGGATAACAAAACTTTGTTTATATTTAAATTTTGAATTTCAGACTTTTCAGTAATTAATTCTGGTCAAGGTCATGTATCCCATATAACATTTTGCTTTTCCTGGATATATGATTTTGAAATCTTTACTCATCTAAAAAAATGTTAACAAGAAATTAAAATAATGATTCTTTAGAGTTTGTGTTTATTTTATCAGGCTATTGTCATCATATCTACCTCATTGATTTTTTTTTTTCTTTTTCACATTGAAGAAATATAAGATGCATATTGACCGAAACACTGGTATAATTGAAATGTTCATGGAAAAGCTACAGGACGATGATGAGGGAACATATACTTTCCAGCTTCAAGATGGAAGAGCAACTGGCCATTCTACTCTTGTTCTCATTGGAGATGGTAAGAATTCTGTGGAATATTAACTGGAAGACTTCGCTGCTCCCTTCAGTGTAAATACTCCATGGAACAAAAGTGGTCATATGGAATGTAGTAGGAATTGTTTATTGACTGGATTCCCATGTTCGAAATACAAGTCTCAGTTACTACTTTCCATTGTGTTTCATTTCATAGAAATGAAAGTTAATTTAAAAGGACACTAAATTTATCCCTGGCCTATAGGCAAGACGGCACATAAGCTATCTCATATATAAACAAGTATTTACTACTAAAATTCTCTAGTGAAGGAGAGTGCAAAACAACCGAGATTGTATATGTGTCTCAGGAATAAACTGTGATACTATCTTATGATGTGTACTTACTTTAAATTACTTAAATTAAGAAGAAAAATATGCAAAAGTAGTCCATGCCAAATCAATTAATCATACATTATAACTATATTGTATGTCAGCTGCCATAAGCCACTATGGAAACCACCAAGATTTAAAATGTAGCAGCAATGGGAAGGCTGGCCAGATCTCTACATTTACAATATCCAATACTATTTTACTATCTCCTAGCTTCATGACCTTGAACAAATTATTTAACCTTCCTAAGCCGATTTCTTCATCTATGAAGACTAAAAATGAATAGAGTGGTCATAATGGATGAGTTTTATAATAATGAATATAAATCACTTAGCACAGTGACTAGCATGTGCATTTATACCACCCCACTCAATTTCATACTTTCTTGTTTTTTAACTTTTAGTTTATAAAAAGCTGCAGAAAGAAGCTGAATTCCAGCGGCATGAATGGATCAGGAAACAAGGTAAGAATAGTCAGTGAGTAAAGAGAAAAGCTTCAATTTCTTGAGCTAAATATTCCAAAATTATTTAAAATGAATATTATTGCTTATGTTAATACCCCTACAAATCAAAATAATTGGACATACTTATTAAATATGTATCCATTTAAAATATTTAAAAACTAAATCTCGAATTTTAAAAATTTTACTTTAAATATAAATCATGTTCAAATTTAAGAATGAACTTTGATTTTGCATTCACGACTAATAGAGTAATTGCTGATGTCATTAATATTGTATAGGTCCGCATTTTGCTGAGTATTTGAGCTGGGAAGTGACTGGTGAATGTAATGTACTATTAAAATGCAAGGTAAGAAGTAGATAATTTTTAAATATTTGATACAAGGGAAATGAAGATAAAATAGAATGTGAGGAGAGGAAGATCAACTTTTCATCTCCTCCATTTGAACCAAATGATAAGTGACACATCCTTACTGTTGAACATTACTATAATCCTTGGTTAGTAAGAAACATTTGAATAAAACAACATAAAAATATGTGAAAGCAACATGATCATTACTATTCATTACCCACACTCTAGTAATAAGAACAGACTATTATTCTTTTCGTTTTAATAAGTCTCTTTTTTAGAGCAGTTTTAGGTTCACAGAAAATTGAAGGGAAGTTACAGAGATTTCCCATGTACCCCGTCCCCACACATGCACAGCCTCGCCCATTAACGACTCCCCCCACCAGAGTTGTACATTTGTTACAATTGATGAACCTACATTGACACATCGTAATCACCCAAAGTCCATAGTTTACACTCAGGATTCACACTCAGCATTGTACATTCTCTGGGCATGGACAAATGTATAATGACGTGTACATCATTATAGTATCATAAAGAGTATTTTCACTGCCCTAAAAAATCCTCACTGCTCCACCTGTTCATTCCCACTACCGTCACCACTCTTTTTAAATTATTAATCTCAGAATAATCTCACATTGCCTTTGTTTTAGGCCAAATCTACATTCTAAGTTGTACATCTATTCCAGAACCATTCCAACTACACTTTTTCCATGGAAATTTAGCAATTTCCTATCTTTGTTTTTAATGAGATTAAACATTTTCTTCATCTATTTGTTTGTAGTTCTATTTCCTCTATGGGGAATTGTGTTGTTCAGTGGGGTCTTAGGGATTGTTTTCTTGATTTGTATGAAGTCTATTTTTTCATACAGTTTTAATTACACAAGAAATATATGAATATACTCTTCTTTGTAAAAAAATCAAATATTGTAGATAAAGTTCAAGATCCCTTTAATAGTCCATTTGAAATTTATGATACGATATGATGTGTGCATGTAGGATTTAAATGAGTTTCCTTAAAATTGCTAAGCAATTAATTTATTAAACCCTTCTTAAAGCATATTAGCGAAACTGACTATGGTAATCATTTCACTATATATAAATATGTTAAATTGTTGTCGTACACCTTAAACTTATAGATTATATGTCAGTTATATCTCAAAATTGGAAAAAATTTTAAATTTTTTAACATATTCTTCCTCCACATTTATTTACAAAGCTTCATTTATCTTTTAAAAAATATTTAGATGTATTTTGGGGCTTACTCATTCTGTTCCCTTGATGAAGCCATTTGTTTTATCATATGACACAGATTTGTCTTCCTATAGTTTTCAGATTTTTGTTTTAAGTCTGTATGTTAGTACTTATGTATCTAGTCTTTCCTTTCTGGTCCACAAGATAATTTTAAAGTTAATTTTTACTGTTAGAAGTAGAGATGCTATTGATTTAGTTTATTCATTTGTGTCTACTTTATTCCAAACTGTTTGTCAATTAAAATAGGTTTCAAATGATTCCTGTAGCATCTTCTGACTCTACGTTTAGTGCCATTTTCTTCTATCTAATGTTACATTACGCACTATTTAGCTTCATAAAAGTAGTACTCCCTTATTTCAAGAACTGTAATTATGATTTTTCTTCTAGGTGGCAAATATTAAGAAGGAGACTCTTATTGTGTGGTATAAAGATGAGAGGGAGATATCAGTGGATGAAAAGCATGACTTTAAGGATGGTATATGTACGCTGCTTATAACAGAGGTAAGTGACCATAAATGTGAAATGTAATATGTTAGTTCTATACCCTACTTTCTCCGCCAAAACAGAGATTAGATTCTGTATTCCTTTGTCCCAGGCATTTGTAATACCTTACCTTTAACTGTTTTAAAGATCCCTGCCTCGACTTCACCTAAAAAGCAAGCTGTAGGAATACAAAAGCTTCTCTCACCTTGTGATATGCATGGATTTGTCACATGTCAAACCAGTATTGGCTGGACACTACAACTCTTGCCTCTCTGAGCTACTATTTCATAGATAGATAAATGACAGGACAGTTAAGTGGATCATTCTTTGTTTTCTCTTAAGCCTCATGACAACTTGTTTCTTAAAAATATAGAGACAATCAGACATAGTATTAATTTAAGTATAGATTTTTATCTCCTTTTTGTCTGAAAGAGCATACCTTTCAAAAATATGTCATCATTGGTTTTTAATATGAAGGTAGGATGAAGGATAAAGGACTTTAAGTCTCAAATCAATTATAGCCATAGAGTGTGAAAAATCAGGACTGCTAGCTGGTCAAATTATAATGGATAGGTTCATCTGCGAACTGTTTGTTGCTGACATGGCTATATGCTTGTTTAGTGTGTGTTTTGATGGCAATTCTATAAATCACAGGGCCCTAAAAATGCAAACACCAAACTCTGAAGCTACAATAAACTGCAATGCAGTATATTTATCCCTCCCTTAGTTTTCCAAGAAAGATGCTGGGTTTTATGAAGTTATCCTGAAAGATGACAGAGGAAAAGATAAGAGCAGATTGAAGCTGGTGGATGAAGGTCAGTCCATCAACTGCTGGAGTCTGTTTTGTGTGTTGTATATGGTTACCAGAATTATGAGTGAGGCTGAGCTGATGATTGAAGTCATGCTGATGTTTTTGTCCACAGATTTTGTTTTCAATGAAATTCCAACTGAGTGAACTACTGTTATATTAAAAATTACTTGGCTTTTAGTTTTCCTAGAAATCAGAAGTGTACTTTTGATCCTCAGAGAATTTATAGTCCACAGTCCACTAGGGGTCTGTTTTCAATATAAATCATCATTTTTGTTTCAACCCTATAAAAAATGTTACAGGATCAAAAACTATTGTGAAAAGTAGATTTTAAGAATACACACTTAAAAGGTGGCAAGACACTCTGGAAAACAGTATGGAGATTCCTTAAAAAATTAAGAATTGATCTACCATATGATCCAGCAATCCTTCTACTGGGTATTTACCCCAAAAACTTGAAAATCATATCCGAAAAGATATTTGCACACCAATGTTCATGGCAGCACTATTCATAGAGGCCAGAATATGGAAGTAACTGAAGTGTTCTACAATAGATGATTGGCTAAGGAAGCTGCAGTACATATATACTCAGCCTTAAGAAGAGATGAAATACTGCCATTTGCAACAACCTGGATGGACCTCGAGATAATCATGCTAAGCGAAATAAGCCAGACAGAAAAAGTTGAAAATCACATGATATCACTCATATGTGAGATATAAACCTAAAAGCAACAAATGAACAGGACAAACAGAGACTCAGGGACATGGACAATGGACTAGTGGTTACCAGAGAGTAGGGGGTTGGGGAGAAGGGAAGAAGTAGACAGGATAAAGAGGGTCAAGTATAGGGGGTTGGGGGAGGGTGAAGTGGGTAAAAGGGATCAAATATATGGTAGATGAAGGAAACTAGACTCTGGGTGGTAATCACACAATAGAATATATAGATATCAAATTATAATTAACACCTGAAAAGTATATAATTGTATTAACCAATGCTATCCCAATAAACTTTAAAAAAAATTAAAAAATTAGAAAAATAAAAGTTGGCAAGAAAGATTTATATATGAAACCTCTCAGTTATTAGCAGAGCAGGAAAGCAATTTCCATTTTTCAGACACTACTAAGGACAAATATATCATGATAACAAAGACCTGTATATGACCCCCAAACTTCCAATTTTGTTCCTGAACAATATCTTTAACAATATTGCTAACAAAAAGCAGAAGTCTGATTTCACTTTCCTGATTCTTGGTGGAGGCAAAACAACATGTGTTTATTGGCAAAAAGCATTATTAGACTGTGAAATATCAGGTTACTAGATGGTTAATTCATTATGAATTGAAGACACCGATACGAAAACTTCCTCTAATGTGAACTAAGGCTTCCTGGGACTTAAGAGAATCTTAAAGCCAAGAACCTTCCTGGAAATCTCATTGTGGCTCTTTCTCTAGAATGTAAATATAGTGACAGTTATTAAGAATTAGAAGAAAAAATATCAAAATAAAAGCAAGGATATTTTAAAACTTGATTAAAATTGAGTCATTCTCTCCAAGAGCACTTATTATCAATTGATCAGAAAATTCACCTTGTGACACATACCCCTCATCAGACATTTATTTACTTATTTAATTTTATTAAATTTATTGGGGTAACATTGATGAGTTAATAAAATCATATAGGTTTCAAGTGTAGAATTCTATAATATATCATCTGTATATTGCAGTGCGTGTTCACCACCCAAAGTCAAATCTACTTTCATCACCGTATGTTTGATATCCTAATTTACCCTTTTCTCCCTCCCCACTACCCCTTTTTTTGTAACCACCATACTGTTGTTTGTGTTTATGAGTTTTTGTTTGTTAGATATTTTTGAGAGCACAATGCTGACTAATAGTTTTGAGATTTGGCCTTACACTGAGCATTTTTATGCTAAAGTTTTGTCTGTGAATCTCTATCCACAGCCTTTAAAGAACTGATGACTGAAGTATGTAAAAAAATAGGTAAGTTAAAATGTTCTCACCATGACAGTGCTTCATTATTCTCCTGGATAGGCTTACAGGTGTATGAAATATGCTCTTTGCTTTTTTCAGCTTTGTCTGCTACAGACCTGAAAATCCAGAGCACAGCTGAAGGCATCCGGCTGTATTCTTTTGTTACTTACTACCTGGATGATCTAAAAGTTAACTGGTCCCACAAGTAAGTAAATGGAAACTTAATTGTTGTGCAGAACTTCTTTCTCTATTGGAGTGAAAAAGGTAGGAAAAACAACAGCAACCCTCTTTAATCTTAGCTAAGGAGTCTTCTTACTTCTCAGGTCTGACATTGATGAGCATAGGACAGAAGCACCCAGGCCATTCCCTTAGCGTGAGGTTGGCACATTCCCTCAACATATACATGGTGAGGCCAGTGCTGGCTAACACATTCGTCTTTGTGATCATGGAAGTACCACAATTTGTAGATATCTCTATAATGTGACCTCTACCTCCAGATGGTCATGCTCAGTCTCCCCCTGCTTTCCCAGGGCATCCAGAGCCAAATTCTGATCCTCTTGCTGTAGACACAGCTATCCCATGCTATGGTCTGAAACAGAACTAAAGCAGCATGCACCAAGAGGCACCAAACTTCCTGTTATATGAATCAGTAGCCATTCACCAGAAAAACCTAATCCAGAGATGTGTCCGAGTTTGTTACTATTGTTGTTTATAGCAAGTAGCACAGTTTCTTGTCCATCTGGAAGGCTTGGAGATATCAAGATGACTTTGGGAAAATGTTTTTATACTGGATTGAGCCTGATAATCTGTCACAATCCCAGGCTTCCTTTGTGGAGTTTAGAGGGATTCCATTCAAGTTCACCTCTGGGATTCCAAAAGCCAAAATATGTTTCTGAGTCGAACTATTTCTCCCATTTATACTCTTGATGTTATCCTTAACCTTGGTGCTTCCTTAGAATTTCCTGAACTGAAAGAAAACAGCAGCCTGGCATAGAACTCTGATGGGGCACAGCCACCTTCAGTCCATACTTAGGATGCAGCAGACACTCATTCCTAAAGTCCTTCTGAGCCTCACTGAGCAATGGGTCACTGTGGCATTTCCAAAGGAGGCAGACAATGACGTTTGTTTATGTCTTCCCGTCAGTGGGCATTCACAATATGCGGGGCACTGCTCCAGCCATTTAGATGTATGAATTCATTTAATATACACAACTCTTTGGGGTGGGTGCTTCTCAGTTCAGTGAAGAGGAAGTTCAGGCTGGGGGAGGGTGACTTAGGTGACACAGCTAAGTGGTGGGTGAAAGGATATCCATAGGTAGCCTGGCTCCAGACTCTCCCTGTCATGGCACTACACCTGTGTTCAATTGCATTAAAAGTCTAGATTAACATTTAACCAGAACTGGGTCCCACAAAGCAATCATTTGTGTTTTCTTTAAAATGACTTCCCTGTTGCTTAGAACAGTATTTTATTATTTTATTATTATTATTAATTTCCTGAGTTCTAAAAAAATTAGAAGTGAATTCCAATGTAGAATTCTTGGGGTTTCATTTCTTTGTTTTATTTCTTTCAGAATATATTTTAGGAAAGTAATTATCATTTAAAATAGATCAAATTCCAGGAAATTCCTCTGTGACATTTAAGACATTCTAATATATCAGTCTGAAGAATAAGAGAAGGTAAATTAATTGAATCATCAATCAAAAAGCTTTACCTCATCTCAAAGTATTATTTGTTAAAAAACATTAGAACATTGAGTTTTGAACAAACTGCTATTAGATTAGCAAAGCATAAACTTCTTACACTATTTGGTCTAGTCAGCTAAATGAGTGTTTTATATATCCACACATCTATGAAAGAAAGATTCAGGAGTCGAGGATTGTCTTCATTGTCTTTATGTAGGTATGTGACACAATGAGAAAAAAACTTGAAATGAGTTTTAGTCTTGACTTCCCTCCTGTCTTCCCTTGGATCTAAGGAAAGTCTTTTAATTTTCTGAATCTCACGTGATAATACCTGCTCTATCTCATAACACTGATGGACCCAATGAAAGAATGAAATTAATGGCACTTTGTAAACCATGAAGTGCTTTACAAATTTAAGATATTATTATCCATGTTAACCAGAGATTAAAGAATTCAAATATTTATTTTAGCGAAGAAGAGAACTATCTGTCTTTTTAGCTCTGCAGGACATTTAGATTGCTCAGGCTAAAATCTATGGGTACAGATGGGTTCCTTTATCTTATATTTTTATGGCATTTTAATTTTAATATCTTTTAAGAGTGTACTGTATAAGAAAAATGTTGAATATTTACTTGAAAATAGAAACTCTTTTGGTGATTTTTGTTTTTTTAAGTTTTTTAAAGTTCATTTTGCTTATTATAGCTACAAACACAATTCATGCTTGTTTTAGAAAATATATTTATAATATATTATAAATTAGAGTTTATAATATGATGTTATCCATAATTTTCCTAGTCATAGTAATACCTCCATCTTTTCTCTATGTATAATTATTAATAAAATAAAGTAGTTTTGTGTAGTGCATTTTATCCTTATTTCCTTACATGTTTACAAACTCTTCGTAAACTTACTTTTAACATCATTGAAAATATATCTACCTTGACCTTTCTCTTATAGACTTCATCTATAACAGTGGCATTTCTAGACCGTCAGATCACAAAACAAACTGTTCTATTTGCTTTTATTCTGTTAAAAAGAAAAGAACACAATGCATGGGTCTGCGTATGACCTACTATAGAATACCGGGAAACTCACGCCCAGGGCCAGAGAAGGTTCCTCATTCATTTTGGCAGCAACTCTGCTTTTCATTCACTTTTGGCCTTACTACCACGTGCATATTTACATGTGTTTTAAATAGTTTTGTAACCACATATGTCAATAAATGTCAGCCACGGATGAACCTCCTTAAGTATGTTTTTGACTAGCTTGTAAAATCCGATTAATATCCATAGACCAACTACATGACATATGTAGTAATGTGATATGTACCTTAGCCTTTTTACTTTAAAGATTCCCTTAGTCCTACAAATAAGCCCAAGCTAAAACAAAGGTTATTAATACTGCTGAGAAGTATTGGTGTTGCAATGTGCCTGGGCCCCAGACTGCTATTGGGAGTTAAATGTGATATTGGTGGACCCCACCCTGGGCCTTGGAATCCAAGCTCAGTGATTCAGGGTCCATCATTTCTCTGAAGCTGTAGAGCATATGTGGATCCCATATTATTTGAAAACCTATAAAATTTGGTAAGATCAAATTGGTAAGATCTTCAATAAGAGACAAATAAAGCCTTAGACAAAAACAAACAATAATGATGTTTCCTTTGATTTGAACAGTGGCACTGCTGTTAAGTACACAGACAGAATTAAGAGTGGGGTCACCGGGGAGCAGATCTGGCTGCAAATCAATGAGCCCACTCCAAACGACAAAGGGAAATATGTAATGGAGCTCTTTGATGGCAAAACGGGATACCAGAAGACAGTGGATCTTTCCGGACAAGGTAAATGGATATTTTGCAGATTTGAACTTATTATGGAGCTTTTTAAAAAGAACGAAGGTGATAAGAGGTCATTATATTACCTATTGAAAGATGATTGGTGATTTTAATAATGTAGTTTAAATTCAGCAATGGTGGTAGAAGCAAGAATTCAATGGGTGGAGAATGGTTAAAAAGTAAACACTGCTCTTTCAAGATGTTTACAAAGATTGATTTACAATTATTACAAAGATTGATTTCAAGATTGATTTACAATTACTTGAACAGGAACAAACACTGAAAAAATTTAGTTTTACTGTGATTGAAATTTGAGCATGTTCACGGAAGGAACAGTTGAGGTGGAAGAATTGAAGATGTGAGTGAAGGGGACTGATTGAGGTATCAGAGATCTGAAGAATGGAAGGTTGGAGATCCAGGGGCAGAGGTGACAGTGTTGACCTTGGAAAGGAGTAGAGATACCTTTTCTTCAGAAACCGGAGGGGAGTAAGTGTAAATAAGCTAAGACAAATATCAAGGAGAACAGAGGGAAGTTGGAAAAGTTGGATCTTTATGGCCTCAGATTTCTTGGTCATCTGCTGAGAGAATGGGAGGTTTTGGAGAGACGAGGGAAGAGGAGAAAGTCATGAGAGCCTTGGCAAAAGGCTTCCACCTCAGAATATAGATGAAAGGCGATTTGCAACTATTAATTAAAAATTTAAAAGTTAAAACATATACAATCATAAATAAAGATTAAAAACACTGCCATTTCTCCCTGTCTTGGTACTATACTCTTCATCTTATTTATTATTTCCTGAAAAAAAAAAAAAGTCTGTATAGAATTACTCAAGGAGATTGGGGACTGACTTTTTCTTCCACTTCTTCATATATTAAAATGCAGTCTAAACATGCCGTAACTCTCAGTGTTTTAATCTTCAGAGAGTAGATTCATCATTTAGAGAGCAGCCTTTCAATCCTGCCTTGAGTCGTTTTGTGCTAAGTCCCCTTACCCTGCTTCCCATGATGACAAGATACTCTGCAGGGAATGTAAGTGGCTGCCTCCAGGGACTCGGACAGTCCAGGCCACACTGTGCCTGAGTCACTTACTGCAGCGACAGGGGGTTTCTTCTACAGAATATCTGATACTTTGAAACAAATAGAAAAAGGAAAATAAGACGTGGGTAGATAAATTTAAAACTTTCTAAAGATTTACTTTTACTCTCTGGCCCACCAGAGCTTTTTTAACTACCTTTCTCTTGAATCCCTCTTAAGCAAAATTCTATGGATTATCCCAACAGGCTTGACACTGCCACAAAATACAGACTGGCTCTCCTATGCCTGTCTTTTTCTCAGTGTGATATGAGCAAAAAGAAGCGTACTGAACTCTTAGCCTGGTTTAGCCTAACTCATCTATCTCCAGAGACTTTAAACCCGACTTTATGCTTATTTTTTTTTTCATCCAAAAAATGAAGGGGGGGGGGGTAGACTAGTATTATATAAATATTTTCTAGATGTAAAATATTATGATTCCCAGACCATAGAGGAGCTTAAAGACAAGATGAGAGAGCTTTCAAAATGAAGCTGCCCTTTCACCTGAAGTCTTCAAAGTGGCTTACTCTGCAGACTCAGAAAAAAAATATTTTAGAACTCTATGGCTCTCATTTCCTTGTCTCATTCCTCTTTTATCTTATCTCCTGAACAGTTTAGAAGCATTGCTTCAGGCAAGCACTAGCACACAGTGCGACTGCAGTAAACTTGTGTTCTTTCAAACAAATAGATGGGCCAGACCACATAACATAGAAACATTTAACTGTCTGAATAGGAGGCCATGACATGTGGGATGATTTAATAATAGAAAATCCTTTTTGATGCTCAGGATGCTTATTAGACAACCAACTTTTATTTGAAACAGACCTTTATTCCCATTTTATCTTCAGTGGAGCTAAACTTTACCTTTCTGTCTGAGGGTTTGAAGGTCTCTCACGGAACTGAGAGCTTCTAAACTCGGCTAGTTCATCTTTTCTACTTAGAAAGTATTTCCTTAAGTCCATCAAACTATAGAGCAAACACATAGGCATAGTCTTATTCAAAGTCAGATTAGTTGTATCTGCACTGATCACATTGACTTCATGTTGTGAATTTTAATCAGCCTCTTTATGTCATCAATTCCAGGTGAGAAAATTCTAACTTCTCTTTTTTCCCCCTTAAAGCGTATGAGGAAGCCTTTGCGGAATTCCAGAGATTAAAGTAAGCCCCTTTTACCTAGCAAATGTCACTTGCATGCACTAATTTCTCTAGAATACTGGGTGAGCTGCTACCTCTTCTGAGTGACAGAGGGTCTTTTATTTCAACGAGTGCATTAAAGCAGCGATTCCCACTACCTCATTGAGTAGCAAAATGTCTCTGAGGCAATGAAATGCAGTCAAGGTTAGCTATTTTAAAGTAACACTAAAACCAAATTCTTCTTTGTTTGTATGTTTGTTTGTTTATCTCAACCACAGACAAGCTGCCATTGCAGAGAAAAGTAAGTAATCTCCCTCCCCATTCACTCCTGGTATAGTTTTAAAATATACCTTTTAGTTTTCTATTATGACGACAGTAGAAGAGAGTGAAAATGTCATTTTTTAAATTTCTTTCTTTTTTTTAAACCTTAGTTGTTCTACATGTTTTCATTTAATCCCTTGAGTAAGAATGTCCATGAAAAGAAGGTCTTAGGTTATAACATAAGAATGTCATCCAGCTCTTGACTTGAGCTACCACCCAACCATCTGGAAAAATCTCTGGGCTGTAAACCACAGAATAAGTTATTAAGCATTTGCAGCAGACACACCATATCAAAAATATATATACATTAAAGACAGTAAGAAACAAGAATCTTTGTAAATTTGAAATCTGAAACTGCTCCCCTAACAAGTACTCTGCATTTTTCTGAGACCTCTGTAAAGATGCTGAGTAAGGCCTTCCTTCATTTCACTGGACACAGCCCGCATGAATAAACACCAAACAATCGAGTCTACATACCCCAAAATGAGCTCACTACTAACTTCTATCAACTATTTGCTTCATACATAGATATTTCAAGAAGCATGCAGGCTTACGGGATCCCAGAAGTCACAGACTGACTAATCCATCATTCAGGATTTTTTGCAGTATGGGAGGCAGAATTTGAAAACTATCAAAGGTTAAACCTGTAGAGTTGGTCCTTAGCTGGAATGGAAGGGAACCAGAAGGAAGAGTGAGAAGTAAAATCATCTGTCTACCTTTCAGTGGCTCTGGGTCACTCAAGATAGAACTTTTACCTTTGCTGTGTACTGCTTTCCTCCCTCCTTTCTGTTCTCTCCCTCTCCCCGCTCAGGCCCTGGGTTTGAGAGGCAGCTGCTAGTGTTGAGTGGGCAGATGCCAGCACCAGGGGCATGCTAGGGAGAGTCCAAGCCACAGGGAGCATTTCTTGTTGGTACCTAGTATGTCCCTCCTGTTCCTGAACACAAAAGCAAAGCCAACAGCTGCAGCAGTTGACAGCCTCTCCCCATTCTTGAACTCTCTTGTGGGCAAGGAGCCCTACCCTCCCTCCAGTTCATGAACGTTTTCCTAAGCAATTTGGATCACAGCACTTTAGAGCTGGGAAAGACGTTAGAGCTCTTCCAGCTCTATGTTTTTAAATTTTACAAGCCATAGAACATTAATTCAAAAACCTTCCACACAGACCCAATATATAAAGTAGGTAAAAGCTGAGTTATCTTCATTGATGTTGGGATGGGGTCCTGGCTCCCAGACTCAATTTCCCAACTTAATCTTCTCTCAGGTACCCTCAGAGGAATCCCATAGGTGCTATGGAGCAGAGTTTCAAAACTTTATGTCTACAGGTCTAATGCAATCATCCTCCATTCTACATCAGGAGGCTGAGTTCCACACAGTGACATGTCTTACCTAATATCACACCGCAAATGACACAGGGAGCCAGATGATAGGTTGTGCTAACAAGCAGTATAAGTGCAATGGAATCAGCAGGAGAATATAGTCGAGATTCAGTCAAAGCTTAATCCTGACTTACTGGAGAAGAGAATTGTAGAAATAAAGGTCAAAAGTCACACATAATGAAGTCAGCCTAAAAATGAAACAGTGGGGGCCACTGCATTGGTGCCAGAGAGGGTAGCTTTGAGTGAATTACAGAATGATGTCCTTCCCTGAGGCTGAAATAGTCACACACGCAGCACATGGATTGGCTGGGGAGTCAGCCTTCGATTTCAGCACCCTTCCTGCACTTTGTCCACTCAGCTGGGGACAAAGACAGTGGCCTGCATAGCACTACCAAGAACTACGAAGA